AACAAGAGAGCAGAAAACATTTGAATGTGAAATCCACCAAAACAGAACGCCAAAAGATCATAGAGTGTTTTAAATCACCACAACTGTATACAGGTAACCCACCCACACTGACAGATACCTACAAGTGCAATCCTGTCAGCCAGTCTCGGAAAAACGTGGGATAATCTGATGCCTTAACAAGAGAGCAGAAAACATTTGAATGTGAAATCCACCAAAACAGAACGCCAAAAGATCATAGAGTGTTTTAAATCACCACAACTGTATACAGGTAACCCACCCACACTGACAGATACCTACAAGTGCAGTCCTATCATCCAGTCTCGATAAAACGTGGTATAATCTGATGCCTGAACAAGAGAGCAGAAAACATTGGAATGTGAAATCCACCAAAACAGAACGCCAAAAGATCATAGAGTGTTTTAAATCTCTACCTTCATCAAAAACTCCCTGAAGAATACAACAATGGAAAGAATGGATCAAAGGAACACTACTACCATTTACCTTCCTTACATGTCAGTGAAAAACTCAAACACATAACCAAGAAGTTCAACATAGATGTCTGGTGGAAATTTTACAATACGATAAGACCCATTCTAGTGAAAACTAACAGAAACTTACTAATTAAAAACATAGAAATGTCATTTATGAAATTACATGCTTCTGCAACGAGACATACATTAGATAAACGGGAAAAAAAAAGACTCGAGACAAGAATATAAGAACATAAATACAGCACAAGAATCATGAAAAATCAAAGTTCAGCCAATGCAGAACACATCATGTCAACTGGACACAAAATAAACTGGGATAAAACTAAAAACAAATTTTGGAAGACAAAGAAAAATTAAAGAATCTTTCTACACCAATACGATAAAGCCTTCACTAAACAGAGATTCGAGATTAAAGGTGAGCAACCTATGGCTACCATTTGTTGAATCCACATGCAGTCTTTACACCAATCAAAACAAGGGATAATCAAACCAATCACAACATGTCCTTCACAATCCACCAGAATACTATAAAAGGTGGTTTATTTGAAGTTAAGCACAAAGCTTACACACCTCAAGAATACCTACACAGCATTACCAAGTTACCAACAATCAAAGATCGCTTTACACAACTTGCCACGAAATTTTGCAGAATAGCCAAAAATAGGAACACACAGACCAAACAGTTCAAACAATTAGCTCTAACACCAGAAACTTGGAACACATACATATCACCATTCAATTACATAAACAGCCTAGAAAACACATAAAAGACTCACCAAGTAACTGAAAGAAATTTATTTTTCAGCTTTGGGCACTGGTCAGGTAGATTATTCGGCGCCTGACCAGTGAAAGTGGGTTTTCTCGGGGTACTCCCGTTTTCCCCCCACAGCAAAATTCTGAGAATTGGACCACGGTCCTCCTCCTAGCCCTGAAAAGGACCGACAGACGGCCTCCTCCCCCACCCAAAATGTTTAGCCCTAGTGCTTTATCCCACCCAACGCATCCTCGAAGGCGCCGCTGCCTGATTTTCTAAGCTTAATGTATGGTCCAGACCCGGTCAAACCAATCCAGGACAAACTATAATACTCACGAATATGTACATCCCTCACCAAGCAGCGGGGTTGTAGAGAAGCGGAAAAAAACTTCTGAACACCACTGGTTGTCCTCATACACGTTGAGTTTGAAAGGACTAACCAAAATTACCACCCAGAGTATAAGTATAAGTTAAGCACAAAGCTACACAATGGGCTATCTGTGCTCTACCCACAACGAGTTTCAAAAACCGGTTTCTAGCATTGCAAGTCCGCAGACACACCGTTGTGCCACTGGGGAGGGGGGGGGTGGCTACTATAAAAGACATGCAAAACCTTACACACACACTGACGTGAAGATGAAAAACTTTCGAAACGTCGTCCTCTACACTTCTGTGTTTTTAGAATAGTATACTAATCAATAATGGATATTTTGGTATGGAAAGGCATCTGTATGCTATAGAGCTATGCATCTGTTTATAAGGGGTTTATTTACTACTCAACATTACATTATATGTTAATGGATGAAATTGTAAGACCTTTCACAAGTGCTGTCTGCTCTAACTCTGTCTTGATGCAGTATAATACCCAGTTTCATGCGTACCTTGAATAAATTCTGAATTGAATCCCACAGAACACCTCTTGGAAATCCTTTAAGATCAAGTACATCAGTGCTATAATTGAATCCCATAGAACACCTCTAGTCAATCGTTTAAGATCAAGTACATCAATGCTTTAATTAAATACCATAGAACACCTCTTGGAAATCCTTTAAGATCAAGTACATCAATGCTTTAATTAAATACCATAGAACACCTCTTGGAAATCGTTTAAGATCAAGTACATCAATGCTTTAATTGAATCCCATTGAACACCTCTTGGAAATCGCTTAAAACCAAGTACATCAGTGCTTTAATTGAATCCCATTGAACACCTCTTGGAAATCGCTTAAAACCAAGTACATCAGTGCTTTAATTAAATACCATAGAACACCTCTAGGATAACCTTTAAATTCAAGTGCATCAAAACTTTTATCCACCGAGCGATATCATTAAATCAGGAGTAGAAAAGGATCCTTCATAATGTTCCTTACATAATAATCAGAATCATGCCTCTCAGATACAGGAACTACATAAATATCAGAGGAGCAAGCATATTCAGTAGTGGGGATCTCCTTTTACCAAAAATGGCTCTTTGAGCAGTTGATTCAGTTAGAACCTAATTAGGACCATTCTGAATTTAAAGTTAGTCATGCTAGATTGGTTATAACTAGAGATGTGTTGTCGATATATTAAATGCATACAGTGAAAAAATAATATTATTATAATGTATCATCATTTCAGTTTTGGTGTCCATATGGCTGAAGAAAAAATTATCATAAACACTTTGTACTTTAAGTTCATTACAGCCACTTTGAAACAAACCTATTATCTTTTCCTGTGGCTTTTAACTTACCATCTGGATGTTTAGTCACGTATTTCTTTCATAAAAATACTTTTTTGTGTTACGGCTTACAAAAGCTAACCAATTAGATCAACTTACCATTTGGATAAATGTCATGTATTTTTCCACCACAAGAACTTCTGGGTGCTAGGTTCTACTATAGCAAAGCTAACTTACATTCTGGATGACTCAAGTACGTTTTCCTCTACAAGAGCTTTTAGGTGCTAGATCCTAGTGTAGCAAAGCCAACTTACCATTTGGATAAAAGTCATGTATTTTTTTCCACCACAAGAACTTCTGGGTGCTAGGTCCAACTGCAGCAAAGCTATCTTACATTCTGGATGACTCAAGTACATTTTCCTCTACAAGAGCTTTTAGGTGCT